ATGATGCCGGCCGGCACATTGCGCACACCGCCACAGTCACTCCGCACTTTGGTGCAGCAAGGCGCCGCTCACTGGGATGCCGCAATCCGGCCGCAGCTAGTCCAATACTCTTGTGTTGGTCTTTGTCGGTATTCCTGGTGAGTGTAAAAATGGTTTTAATTTGCACACCTTCATTCCATCCACAGAGAACCACAAATACTCACCTGAAGCGCGTGAAAACACGCTTGCGACACCGGGCGACACCCCTAGTTGCTCCTCTGATCCTTTCTCATGGGCGTCACCACGGCATCCGGCCTCCAGAAGGGCTCCGCGGACGAGAGTCATCACGGCTGCTGGTTGGCTATGAAAGCCAATTTGGACACGCTTGCGCTACACACATGGCGCATCCGAATCCACGCAGGGGTGGTTTTCCTGCACTTCATGGCTGCTGGCAACCATCGCCACACAAATTTGGCCGAATCCCGGGCCACCTGGAGGACCACGGCGATCGCTCCATCCACTCTGCACGGCGCTGTGCATTGTCCACGTCTCCTGCCGCACCTTACACACGCGCTCACCCAGCGCCGTACGGTTGCGCACCGTGCCAAACACTCTGCTCCAGACGACGACGATGATCCAGTACCTGCAAATAGAAATAAAATATAATTAAATTAGATTAAAATGTAAACAATTGTTCAAATATTGTCAATACTTATCTGTTTGTGACCACCTGCTGATTTATGTACGTTAATCCTGTGATTGACACATAAGGGCTGCCAGACCATTAGTTTCATGTTTTAATGTTAATGTTAATGTAATGTCAATGTAATGTCAATGTAATGTTAATGTTAATGTTAACAGCCCGCCAATTTTAAAATCACATTATTGTTGTTAGTTAAGCTTAAATGTAAATTGCCGAAGTTATGGTAATAAGAAAAGCTGGAAATAAACTCCGCCAGTAGCAAAGCTGGCGGGCGAGTGTGCGCATCGTAGGCGTGCACGCGCATCTAATTACATCGAAAAAAAAAAGTGACTTGTGTTTTTTGTTGTTTTATGTGGAACTTTAAATGTTTTTAAATACATGTTTAAACCGGGAAAATGAACTAAATAAACAATATGTGCCAAATAATTGCAAATAATGCAATATAATCATCTGTGATCGCGCTGTAATAGTGAAGCCAATAAACCCAACTGGAGGAAAGAGGAAGGAAAAGCAAGCTACTGAGTACCTGGACCAGGCCACCAAATGGACGCACTTGCTCCAAAACAGACGACCAACAAAATGGATGTTATGGATGCTATGGACAACTCGGCAAGAGCCGAAGCGGGTGGTGAGTGCGTTACTCAAAATAGTGCTACCTACATATCGACCAGGCCCCTGGGAGGGAACCCCTCCGCAAATGCTTCCCTCTTCGAACCAATGTTCGACTCAGAGGGGGATGCGGATCTGGCTGAGTTGGAGACGGACTCGCCAGAGAGTACTGTGAGCTCCTTGGGAGCTACGGTGCTGGAGTTCGAGCGTCGTTTCGTGGACAGGGGTTTATATGTTAGAAAATACCCGCCAATCCCACCAAAAACAGACGCCAACATACAAGAAAAACCGCCATCAAATACACGTACAAACACGCAGACAAAAATAGCTCCCAGCGAAAGTGCAACGGGTTCCAAAAATAGCGGCGCTTTCGCACTAACAAAAGAGCATTTAAGTGCACATAAACAAAACAAGAACAAATGTTATGCCCATATGTTTTCGCGCCAAAACATTAGCGAAAACAAAAACAAGCAAACAACTCACACAAGCATCAGAGAGAGCGACGCTTGCGCTCTCTCAGCGTCCGAACCCTTGGCGCACAATCAAAACGGAGGCGCGTCACATCAAGCCCCAAAGCGTTTGCCGCCAAACTTGCACTCACACACTTATGACAAAAAGAGAGATGCTTGCTCTCTCCCGCCGAACCAATACTCAAACACAAACACGAACAATAAACCCCTGACCTACGCCAATAACAAAACAAAAACAAACACATTGACATATGCCGAAACCATAAACGGCATACAGAAAAACAATGACCAGCAACAGCAACAACGTTTGACGACAGCTGAAAGCAATAATACTAGCAGCTGCAGAAAATGCTTGCTGCCTACTCTGACTCAGGCGGACGAGCATAATACTCAGACAAGGCCTAGTACCAGAACACAGCTGGTAAAGGAATGGCTTAATAGCGTTCCCCCGCTACTGGCCAATGAAATGCCCTCGCCCCTGCCCCTTACCCCTATAGCAAAGGATATCCTGACAACAAATTCGTTTCGCTCGCCGCTCAAAAGAAGATGCGCGGCGATCGAAACGGATTCAGATGACGACCACTTTGCCTGCCTGGCACTTGACACGCCCATGTTCAAGAGTCAGTTTGCGAAAAGATTGCATCACGAGACCCGGCAGATGGAGTCAGATGTTGGTCAAATATGCTCACCGCTAAATAGCGAGGTTCCGGTTACACCGAGTGAGGTTCAACATAGGGAGCCTCAAAGGGGGCAGCCCGAAAGTCAACAGATGGAGACGGACAACCATCAGCCAGCCATTAGTATAAACATAACACCCGTCCAACCGTCATTACGCAGCACCAAGGTCCCTACAATCTTCCTGCCCCTGGTGCCTGCAATTGTACCCCTAATCAATAAATTGACAATAAATCCGAACGTGGGGAAATTCACGACGAAATCGATGGCCAACAGTGGACTCAGAGTCCAGTGCGACGACATGACAACATACAACGCCATACAGAACGCCCTTGCTGAAGATAGCACGCAACTGCATACACACCAGCCGCGCAGCGAAAGGGGCTATCGTGTAATCAACATCAGCATCGCCGACCACAGCAACAGCAGCAGCCATATGTCCGTACTGTTGAGCAGCAACAGCCATCACAAAGGAAGCGGCCACAGCAGCAGCAGCATCAGCGGCAGCAGCGCGCAAGAGTTGTACAAGGGGCCAAAACAGCACCAGCACCAACTCCAATAGCAGCAGCAACGCCCATCACCCGCAGGCCCTTGTATAGCCGAGGTGCTCAAGCCAATCCGGCCGAAAATCATTTGGCCAAGTTCCAACAGAAGTTGAGGGATGAGCAGCAGCAGCACCACCACCAGCAGCAACAAGAACAGCAAAAATTTCCAGTCCCATGCCCATAAAGAAAATGCAGAATTTCTCTCAAGACTTGAGGCCAAAATCGATAGTCTATTTTCTGCAATAGTCAAATGAATAAATATCAATACAAATAAAACAAGCAAAACAACAAATAGCAGTTCACCAAACTCTTTGGACATGGTCCTGTCCTCCGCCAATGATGCCTTCTATGTTTAGTCCAGTCCCGAATAGCCTGTCAAACCAAAAAGTCAATCCAGTACAGACTATTTCCACCCACAACTCTTTTAAAATTGCCTTCTGGAACGCGTGTGGTGTGACAAACAAGTTGAACGAGGTCGAAGTTTTCCTGAAAAGGGAAAAAATACAATTAATGATGGTCATCGAAACACGCACAAGGGCCGTCTCTGTGAGCGGATTCCACACTTACACTGCACAAAATCCGGCAAACGATCGCAGAGGGGGAGTAGCCATCCTGGTCCGGGACGATGTCACCCACTCTGCACTGCAGCCAATTTCAAAGCCATTCATCCAGAGTGCACCTGTCATCGTCTTCACTGAAAAGGAAAATAAAAAGGGAATTATTTTTGCGCCGATCTACTGTCCGCCTGTATTCAAGTGGGCGCCTGCCCATTTTACTGGATTAATAAGACATTTTGAAGAACTCTGCGTCGAAGAAACAGCATCCGGCTTTCTTGTATGCGGTGACTGGAACGCGAAGCATATGTGGTGGGGAAATGTCCGTGGATGCGCCAGAGGGAAAGCACTGATGGAGGCTGTACACACCAACAACGGCTGCAATTTGCTGGCCACCGGTGGTGCCACACACTATCCCTACGACAAAAAAAAGAGACCATCAGCGATTGACTTTGGAATCTACAAAGGAATCCACGACACTCACCTGAGTATCCGTTCAAGCTCGGATTTGGACTCTGATCACTTGCTGCTCAGGGTGGAGTTGACGATCGGCAGCGGTGGACGTAGACATCCTACGCCCACAGTCAGGAAACATCTGCTCCCAGCACGTGCCAATATCAGCCTGTTCCAAAAGTCGCTGGAACGGTTGATCAATCTCAACACCGAGATTAGAATAGCGCAGGACATTGATGACGTCGTTGACTTGTTTTTGAACAACATACGGGTAGCAGCAGCAGCAGCATCAACACAACATCAACAGCAGCACCCAAGCACACATCGAAGATGGCCACAGCAGCGTCAGCATCAACATCAGCAGCGGTCACAGCAACATCACCGGCACCACCACCTTATGCTGGACGAGGCTACAAGCGAGCTGCTTTCCATCAAACAGCAGTGCAAGAGGATCTGGCTGGCGACCCGCACCATCGAAGCCAGACGAAACTATAGGGCGGCGCAAAATCGTCTTAACAAGGGGCTCACAATCCTGAAAACAAAAACATCAACAAACTGTTCACAGGGATTGACAACAAAGACCGGTATCAAATGCAGAAACTTTGGAAACTGACCAGCACAATCAAAAGACAGCCGCAGCCAAACTGGCCACAGAGGCTGCCAACTATGACCGGAGGCAAGGCAAGTGTCTCGTGGACAAAGTCAACAGCCGAGACAGCCGATGCCTTTGCTACTCACCTGGAGGAGAGATTCAGCCCGATACTGTCCAATTCAGATGAAGAGCGGGCCGCAATCAACAGAGAGCGTGAGCAGTCAAAACGGCAGAAGCAGCTACAACCGGACCAGGAAACCAGGATTCCCTTCAGACCAGTCACACTGCCTGAGCTGATGCAGATTGTGGATGCATTGGAGCTGTCCAAATCACCTGGGGGAGACAAAATCAATAACAAACTGATTAAAAATTTGCCAAAAAAAGCGCTATTATATTTAATATTAATATATAACTCCATTTTCAGACTGGGCCACTTTCCAAGTCAGTGGAAACATGCCCAGATTAAAATGATTTTAAAGCCGGGCAAAAACACAGCAGACATGTGTTCCTACCGGCCAATCAGTCTATTATCTGGCCTTTCAAAGATCTTTGAAAAATTGCTGATGGCGAGACTGTTTGAGGTGGAGAATTTTGCCAAGGCCGTACCCAATTACCAATTTGGATTTCGGCGGGAGCATGGCACTGAGCAGCAGCTGGCTCGAGTCACTCAATATATCCTCAAGGCGTATGAGAAAAAACAAGTTTGCTCGGCAATTTTTCTGGACATTTCCGAAGCTTTTGACCGAGTATGGCATGAAGGGCTGCTGTACAAGTTGATGAAGCTGCTGCCTTTAAATTTGTACTGCATTCTGGAGAGCTACCTGGCTGAACGCACTTTTCGTGTGAGCTGCGGAGACGAGGAACTTTCAAGAATCGGGAAAATATCAGCTGGAGTCCCACAGGGCAGTGTTCTTGGACCAATATTATACACAATCTATGCCTCAGACATGCCAATGCCTCACCTCATCCCGGACAGCACTGGCTTCCATCCAGAACGGGAATCAATGCTGCTGTCCACGTATGCCGACGACACGGTGATAATGAGCGCATCTGCAATCCCAATACACCCAGGATGCACTGTCGATGGAGATGGCGCGCTGGCCAGTGTCGTCTGTAGTGGCTGGCCTCGTTGGATTGCTGCCGTTTTGTGATGATGGCGTGACGTCACGGCCATCAGTTGGCGGCAGCATAATCGGAGCCTCCAGATTGGGCACAACTTGCAACAAAATGTTGCGGTTAGTGGCGAGCCAGCTTCTGGAGAGGTTTGATCTGTATGTGTAGTGGCAGGTAAGTGTGATTAGTGAGAGTATTGGCTATTTTGTGTTGATGCGTGAATTGATGATTTTTCTTCTTTTTTCAGTGGCAGCCTGTGGACCTGTATGTTGTTGGCGACGGCGATATGGACTCCAAATTTCGCCCATTTGGCAGGAAAAGGGTGGCGAAATTGACGTGGCAGCTGCTGGAGGGGCAGCTCTGTCGGTGGACTGGCAGGTAAGTATGTTTTATGTGTATTTTGACAATTTTGCGTAGATGTGCGAATTGACGTTTTATACCCGATACTCAAAATGAGTATTGGGGTATATTAGATTTGTGGTAAAAGTGGATGTGTGTAACGTTCAGAAGGAATCGTTTCCGACCCCATAAAGTATATATATTCTTGATCAGCATCAATAGCCGAGTCGATTTAGCCCTGTCTGTCTGTCCGTCCGTCCGTCTGTCCGTCCCCTTCAGCGCCTAGTGCTCAAAGACTATAAGAGCTAGAGCAACGATTTTTTGGATCCAGACTTCTGTGATAGGTCACTGCTACAAAAATATTTCAAAACTTCGCCCCGCCCACTTCCGCCCCCACAAAGGACGAAAATCTGTGGCATCCACATTTTTAAAGATACGATAAAACCAAAAACGCAGAATCATAGAGAATGACCATATCTATCCAGTTGCTGAATTTGGATCAGATCGGATAATTTTTATAGCCGAAAAGAAAAAAAAAACAATTTTCAGTGGCTACCCAGCGCCCGACGTCACGCTCAGACTGATTTTCTGTCTCTGTCGCACGCACTCTTTGTCGTGTCGTTTAATATTAGCGCCGTCTGCCGGAGGAGAGCCATACTGACTTAGTATCGGGTATAACTGTAGAGTTGCGGTGTCCGCAGCAACTCATAACGTTCCCCCTCGTTGCTGATGCTGTTGTTGTTGATATTGTTGTTGCTGCGGCTGTGGGCGTTCGGTCTCCGTCTCCATCTGTTGCTGTTGCTGTTCCCTCTGCTGCTCATTTGCTTTTGAATAGCGGCGTTGCTATTGGCAGAAATGTAATTTCTTCGTCATCTGTATCCGTATCGATCGCCGTGCATCTCCGTTTGAGAGGCGATCGATAGGATGAGTTCGTTATTTGCTCCTTTGTTAAGGGGGTCAAGTGTCGTCAATTGTTATACCCGATACTCAAAATGAGTATTGGGGTATATTAGATTTGTGGTAAAAGTGGATGTGTGTAACGTCCAGAAGGAATCGTTTCCGACCCTATAAAGTATATATATTCTTGATCAGCATCAATAGCCGAGTCGATTGAGCCCTGTCTGTCTGTCCGTCCGTCCGTCTGTCCGTCTGTCCGTTTGTCCGCCTGTCCGTCCCCTTCAGCGCCTAATGCTCAAAGACTATAAGAGCTAGAACAACGATGTTTTGGATCCAGACTTCTGTGATATGTCACTGCTCACTGCTCAGAGACTATTAAGGCTAGAGTAACCAAATTTGGTACACACACTCCTTTAAGATGTCACTATAAAACGTATATCTCAGAATTTCGCCCCACCCCCATCCGCCCCCACAAAGGACGAAAATCTGTTGCATCCACAATATTGCAGATTTGAGAAAACTAAAAACGCAGAATCATAGATAATGACCATATCTATTAGATTGCTGAATCTGGATCAGATCAGATCATTTTTATAGCCAAAAGGAACAAATCAATTTGCAGTGGCTACGCAGCGCCCGACGTCACGCTCAGACTGATTTTCTGTCTCTCTCGCACGCACTCTTTGTCGTGTCGTTAAATATTAGCGGCGTCTGCCGGAGGAGAGCCATACTGACTTAGTATCGGGTGTAACTCTAGAGTTGCGGTGTCCGCAGCAACTCACAACGTTCCCCCTCGTTGTTGTTTATATTTGTCATTTCTTTGCTGCTGCTGCTGTTGCTGGTCATTTATTTGTTGCATCTCTCTTTTTGGCTTGTGTGAATGTATGTGTACGTTTTGGTTTTTGTTTCGATGCGTTTGGCGGCAAACGTTTGTTGGGCTTTAGAATAGCGGCTGGCGAGAGAGCGCAGGCGTCACTCAGTCCTGGATTTGATTGCAATGCCTGGTCGCTGGCTGTTTGGCGCGAACTCAAAGGGGCTTGGCACTTGTTGTTGTGCGAATTGATGTGCTCGTTAGTAAGAGCGAGAGTGCCGCTATTTCGGCCTGCCTTTGCGGTTTTTGGCGGCGTCCCTGCCTGACTGTGTGTTAGTGTGTGGGTGATGACGTCATTTCTGGCTAGGATTGTCGGCTCAATTTGATCGCGGAGGCCCCTGTCCCTGAAGCGTCGGTCGAATTCGACCACCGTCCTCTCGAGTGAGCTCACTGGGGAGTCCATCTCCGCCAGCTTCGCATCCCCCTCGGAGTCGAGCATCGACTCGTAGCGGGACCGACCATGGGGTTTGGTGGACCACATCAGGGTCAGAGGAATGGGACACGCACTCACCGCCCTCGGCAGATGTCTGTGTAGCCGGATTGTCCATGGGGAGCGTCGTCAGATTTGGAGCAACTGCATACTGGCCTGGTCCAGTGGCGTCAAATGAGATGGTTTTCCTCATCTTTATGGTCTGCAGCTTGGTTCTGCTGCGTGGTCGAGATTGGGAAAAATGGCTTCCACTTTCACTGTCGTCGGCCCTATATTGTTTGTTATATTGTTTTGTATTGGCACAATTGTTAATTAATTAATGTTCTTAGTCCCGATCAACATATATTTATCCACGCACTATGCCCGACAAAACACAAAACAAACGAGGGGGAACGTTGTGAGTTGCTGCGGACACCGCAACTCTACAGTTATACCCGATACTAAGTCAGTATGGCTCTCCTCCGGCAGACGGCGCTAATATTTAACGACACGACAAAGAGTGCGTGCGAGAGAGACAGAAAATCAGTCTGAGCGTGACGTCGGGCGCTGCGTAGCCAATGCAAATTGATTTGTTCCTTTTGGCTACAAAAATTATCTGATCTGATCCAAATTCAGCAACTGGATAGATATAGTCATTCTCTATGATTCTGCGTTTTTAGTTTTCTCGAATCTGCAATATTGTGGATGCAACAGATTCTCGTCCTTTGTGGGGGCGGAAGGGGGTGGGGCGAACTTCTGAGATATACGTTTTATAGTGACATCTTAAAGGAGTGTGTGTACCAAATTTGGTTACTCTAGCCTTAATAGTCTCTGAGATTTGTGGTTGCCTCAGATTTTCGTCCTTTGCGGGGGCGGAAGGGGGTGTGGCGAAATTTGGACACGAAACGGTCAAGGTCCGATATCACAGGAGTGTGGATACCAAATTTGGTTGCTCTGGCTCTTATAGGTTCTGAGATCCTTGAACTCATATTTTGCAATTGGCAAAACCGACCATGAAACCTGTGTGTTAGAGTGAGACAGAGCGAGAAAGAGTGAAATTGTTTTCGTGATTCTGGCTATAATAATTATACGATCTGGTTCAGATTTTGCACTCTAGAAGATATAGTCATCTTCTACGATTCTGCGTTTCTAGTTTTCTCGTATCGTCGAAATTGTGGATGCCACAGATTTTCGCCCTTTGTGGGGGCGGAAGTGGGCGGGGCAAAGTTTTGAAATATTTTTGGAGCAGTGACATATCACAGAAGTCTGGATCCAAAACATCGTTGCTCTAGCTCTTATAGTCTTTGAGCATTAGGCGCTGAAGGGGACGGACAGACGGACGGACGGACAGACGGACAGACGGACGGACGGACAGACGGACAGACAGACATGGCTACATCGACTCGGCTATTGATGCTGATCAAGAATATATATACTTTATGAGGTCGGAAACGATTCCTTCTGGACGTTACACACATCCACTTTTACCACAAATCTAATATACCCCAATACTCATTTTGAGTATCGGGTATAAAAACACAAGTCTTTTTTTTCCAAATTAATTGCTGCGAGAGCGCACCCGTCTTTCGCTTCGACGATGCGAACACTCGCCCGCCAGCTATGCTAGTCTGGCGATCAACTTATTAAGCACTTTCCATTACCTGTATGTCGGCAATATTTGTGAAAGCTTGATTGACAAGAATAAGGTTTTTTTTTTAATTTTTGCGGGCAATTGACATTAACATGGTTCTAACAGACGTTTGACATGGAACATAAATTAACATCTGGCAGCCCTAATTTGTCATTCACAAGAATTGACGTACATTAATAGAAACAGGTGGTCACAAAGAGATAAGTATTGGACAAATTGCAACATTAATAACATTTATAGACTATTTTCATTTTATTTATTTTCGATTTCAGGTACTGGAGGAACATCGTCGTCGTCTGGAGCAGAGTGGATGGCACAGGGCGCATCCGCCTCAGCGCTGGATGTGCACATGTGATTGATGCAGCAGAACACGCATCTGCGGCATCGGAATTGGCGGAGACTTGAACTTGGAGTTGGCGTGCACGGTGATGGTAAATAGCGAGCGACTCTTCTCCTGCTGCCCACGTTGCTTCTGCCTGGAGATCTGGAGATTGGCACCGAGATGCGTCGACCAACAGAATTGGCTGAGGACGAACGTAATTTGGCTGCATCCGAGTGGCTGCTGGTCCGGACACCCAGGATGCACTGTCGATGGAGATGGCGCGCTGGCCAGTGTCGTCTGTAGTGGCTGGCCTCGTTGGATTGCTGCCGTTTTGTGATGATGGCGTGACGTCACGGCCATCAGTTGGCGGCAGCATAATCGGAGCCTCCAGATTGGGCACAACTTGCAACAAAATGTTGCGGTTAGTGGCGAGCCAGCTTCTGGAGAGGTTTGATCTGTATGTGTAGTGGCAGGTAAGTGTGATTAGTGAGAGTATTGGCTATTTTGTGTTGATGCGTGAATTGATGATTTTTCTTCTTTTTTCAGTGGCAGCCTGTGGACCTGTATGTTGTTGGCG